TAAATTTTAAATTATTTATTTTTTAATATAACAAACGTTGTTTGATTTTAAAGACCTCCTATTGTATTGCATCAGTTAGATATTAGACATAAACATTTAATTAGGCACAGGCAAATATTTAATATGTTTTTAAAAGATTTCGACAAATGTTTATGATCATTCGAAATAAATTGCCATATTCAATTGAAATCTGCAGTTATTATTACACTCGTTAAAAGAGAAATAAAAAATATCTATGTTCGTAGTCATTTAGCAAACGTAATGTGGCATGGTTGCAACATTTGCATGTTGCCACATGTTGCCAATGTGTCAAATGTGGCTGCGCTTTGCCAGCCTTTACAAATGACCACACCTCCCGACATTTTTCTGTTTCTTTTTGTTTTTAATCCCTCGGCTTCGTCTGACCGCTAAACAAAAATTGTGTTTACGATCATCTATTGAGATTTTCCGGCCAGATGCAGCTGCCACGCCCATTCAGCGCTATCACGCCCAAACGCCCGCCGTCATTGCAGTGTTGCAGTGTTGCAGTTGCCGATTGTCTAACGCATGTCAATGAGGCAAGTTGCAGCTAAAGCCGGGGCCTAAGCCAAAACTATAGCTCCTCCTTTCAGCCACAAAAAAAAGGAACTCCTCCGGCGAATTTTCATTCCTCATCATTCCTGGGTGTGTTCTTCACTTATCTCGCACTCATATTTATGTTAATGTGTCTGTTCGCCAAAGATCAAAAGCAAAAGGCAAAGCGCTAACGGTTCTGTTTCTGGTTTGGGCCAAGTTCCTTCGTTGGCATCACAGTCTGTGGGACAAGTCCACAAGGAAAGTGTCTTGCTGGAAAATTTATGTTTCCTTTGTGTTGCCAATTTTTTTTGTTTTTGTTTCCTGGTGCATGGTATTCCTTGGGGTTTAATTAATACACGTACTTGAAAGTTTAAGAAAAGAAATCAACCAGAAAATGGGTCAGACGTTGTGGGCTAAGGGGCGTGGCTGTGCGTTGGGCTAAAGTGCAAAGCGATTAGCCTCGAAAAGTTGGCTTTATGAAAGCTTAGCGATCCCCTGCTCAGATGCTAAGCTATAAATATGGCCCAGTCAGGCCTGAATTCAATTTCAATTTCTTTTTGCCCGCAGTGGGGCCATCTATCACCCGGTTCCTTCTGCGGAGTCCAAAAGGTTCTCCAATTTCAGCCGCAACTAATCACACACAAATCTCGATTGCGGCTGCCACAAATATTGGCTACTAGCACTGTAGCGCTGCTGCAGAGCATGTACTCGTACTTAAATTTGATATTTTAATAAATTAAAGCGCATTGAAACTAATGCGCTGAGTACACCCGCCTGGCACCAAAGCTCCCGGAATGGATAGCCCGTCCAGAGAATCAGGAATCGGTAGCCGGGGAGTGAGATGCCTGCCAACTGATTGCGATTTGAAATATTCAATGGTCGCGCCGAACAACCAGGTAACAGGAACAAGCGACAAGAACTTCTGTTTTGGCCAGGAACCGGCGATGGAGATTCACAGTGATTCACTTGGAAAAATTTGAATACGTTTCCAAGCGCTGACCTCTTGGTTTCATTAGCCATATCCTTCAAACGATTCGGTAACTTGTTAAGTTCTTAAATGTAATAATAGCTCCTTGCTGATTTAGCTCTTTCCAGGGCTAAATAATAATATCGGAATATATCTGTACCAAAATACACATTCATATGTTTTAGACTTGCTATTCAAATAGCAAGTGTAATCGTTTTTTGTGAGTGTGCTAGTACTAGAGCGTGGACTGGATTGCAGTGCGGCCCAAACGCATGATTGGCAGACCGGACCGTTCTGACCAGGCCAAGTGTAATGAGCAGAGAGCTGGGCTGCTGGTGCTGTTGTGCTGTTGCTGTTGTGCTGCCCACCAGGCCGAGTTGCGAGCTGGAATCTCCATCTACTGGTGGCTGGTTACTGGCCCGGCCCGAACTGTCTGCCAAACTGCCTACCTACCTACCTACCGGGGCGATCAGCGATAAGTTTGGGGACTGCTCATATACGAAATGGTTTTGAATTCTCCCGTCTAGTGTTTGATTCTTATTAAAAGATTGGCGAAAGCATCTTACAAGCGCATTGCAAATTGCAACTGTCGCTTACCCAATCCGGACTTCTACTTCTCCTACATACGAGTATGTACGTGTATGTTTGCTGCCCGGCCATGAGGAACCCAACCCAAATCACACTCACATCCCACAGGTGGGTTTTTTTCTACTTCTCAGATACTTTTTCGCCGCTGCCGCTGCCGCTGCCGCTGCCTCTGCATACAATTAGCCTACAACGTGGGGCAACAAAATGTGCTTGTAATTTATTTAAAATCTTTCGCGTTCCCCAGCATCGCCCCCTTGCCCCTCGTGCATTTGAATCGAAATTTCTGGTTTATGAACCATAAACTTAATCGGTGAAATAATCAGCAGAAGAGCAAACAAGGCAAGAGTCAAAGGCAGAAGAGCAGCAGTCAAAGAAGGCTTGGCATCGGTGGAAAAATAAAGGAAATCTGGTCGAAAGGAGGCTGTTTTCCACCACCAAAGCAGAGAGAAGCCAAAAATAAAGGAAACCGAAGACCGAAAACTGAAAGCTGAGAGCTGAAGACTGAAATGGAAGCCAATGGCAGGGCAAAGTGTTTTTCCGAGCCGAGGCCAATCTGCGCTTTCGTTGTTTTCGGTGTTGTGTTGCCAATTCAGGTGCAAATGCATCTTGGCCGACTCTCTGGGCCTTATCAAATTCCTGCCAAGTGCCACTTAAGATCCTTGCTCCCGCTCCTCCCTGCTAAACTATTTATTTCTCCTAACAGTTTGCAAATTGCTTCTCATGTGGGTTGAACTTTTAATAACACGGCAGGAAGGCAGCCAGTCAAAGCGGAGAGAAATCTCAGCAATTTATATGGCTGTAAGTCGGTTCGGTTCAGTCGGTTCGGTTCGGTTCGGTTCGGTTCAGTTTCAACTGCAACTTCAAGGCGGGTGCCCGTTTCATGAATGGATTCTCTTCGGTTCGCCTAGGTTTCTTCGGCTTTTCTACGTTTTCTGGGCTTCCTCGGCTTGGCTGGCAATGGCCCAAATTATGCGAAACAAATTCTTAGCTGCACTGCGAAAAATTCTAAGAAAATCTCAGAACAGTCAGGAACAAACGTATCCATCTCTTTTTGAAAAACATATATAGCAAAAAGCTTCATAAACTGTATGCTTTATTGGCTCGTATTCTATATTAAACGTGTTAGTTCACTTTATAGTGCTTTTCCAACCCCTTTTAGTACTATTTATTTCAGTTTTGGACATAGCTTTTTTCTCTGCACAAAACGCAATGCAATTACTTATCACAGTATGCTCCACCGCCAGACATGAGGTGACCATCGAGCGATGCTCGCCTGGCATCGAAATTACTTCACAGTTCTTGCCCGTGCCTATGAGTATGCAAATGTCTAGCATGCTGGACACGACTATTACCTGTCACATTGTCAGGTGATTGCGAAATTGTTGCGTTACGCCAGCGCCCAGGAGAAGCCGTCCAAAAGATCCCCGAATGGCCAAATGGCCAAATGGTGAACTGCAAACTGAGAGCTGAAAACGCGGCTGAAAATTTGTGGGAAACATCAACGGCGGCTATGGGCGAGACTAAGTGCCCGGGCACTGGCAATGGGCACCCCATTGATGGCAGTTGGAAACGTGACTCGAACGTGACGTTTTGTGCAAACAGGAAGATGCCAACTGACAGCAGACGGCGCAACTTGGCCAAAAGCGCAACAGTTGGCTTGGCTTTGGCTTCGGCTTTGTCCGTATACCCGTCCAGAGGAGACAGAAGAGTTAATACAGTTCGGCGCGGAGTTGACTTGATTGCCGGCGACGTTGGTGGTGGTCAAGGCAGCCAAAGGAAACCGAAACCCATTGCTAAGCCCAAACGCAAACGCAAACCCAAACCCAAACCCGAACCCGAACCCAAAGTCGGGCCAAGATCCGGGCCCAAAACGGTACTCACAAAATTACTTTAACTGCTCTGAAACGACTCTTGCCTTGACTTTGAATGCGTTGAACTTTTGTTTGCATAAACTTGGCCAAGAGGCAGAGGCGGTTCCCTTTTGCCAGCCCCGCTGCTTTATCAGCACTCACATCATATTTACAATATGGAAATCATTTGCATTGTAATAATTTACAATTTCGCTGCGTAGGCCGAACTGTACTAAGCTGTGCTGGCTGTAACGATCTGGATGTTAGCCCGCTTGCTTGGCCAACTGGTCTGGCCAACAAAGGCATGTAATTGATGAAAGCCCCCAATCGCTATTAATGTCATCGATAACATTTCGATTCTGTGTCGAGTGAGTGGCTGGGATACCTATCCCTGGGATACCTATGTGGATACCTATGGACCTGGACTCTCTCTCCCCTGGTTTTTGGCCTAGGTCCAGGGTCCCAAGAAGAGTTACAAGCTCGTAAACGTCGACAACACAAATCAAAACATGTCACAAACAGTTGCTACGCCTCGCAAATTCCTGGAAAGCCCCAAACAAACGCTTGTAGGTCGCTTACTTCCTGGTGTAATTGCAGTCAGCCTTCCAAATGGAATTGAAAATGGTAATGGCAATGGTAATGGAGATGGAAATGAAAATATAAATGCAAATGGAAATGGCACTGGCACTGCGATCGCTAATTTATGGGGCTCGTCAAGGTTGAAAGATGATAAATAATGCGCAAACATTTGGGTCTTGCTGCCCAAATTCAAAAATGCAGTAGAAAAAAAGAAAAAAAAATATATATATATTATGTAAGTGAATATACATTTTCTGTGATGAACAATTACAAATTTCCACCATACATTTATTAGTTTTGCATATTACTTTTTTCTTTGCCTACTTGTATTTTGCAGTGCATTTTGTATGATCATGACAACTAGAGCTACTTTCAAAGTTCCTATGCCGAAAGTCTGGTAAAGCACATTACAAATATTATTTATTTATTTATACTTGCAGTAAGTATATTTATATACATTTTTAGCAGGTCAAAGGATAGTCTGGATGGAGATGTTTTAAATTTAATTTTGACTTCTTGCGTGATGGCGAATCCAGGTAAGGTACGAAGAAACTTTGTTAAAAAAGACTGGGTAACCTGGCTGGCAAACAGGGTTAGTTATAAAGGATGCTATTCCCAGTAGCACAAAGTTCGATTCATGCCAAATTACTAATGGGCCACCAGAATCTCCTTTGCACGGACTGTGCTCGTCTGTAGCTATACAAATAAGCGATGATGGAACTGCTGAAGTTATTATAGACTTAAAGATACGTTCGCAGTCACGATCAGGTAAAATCGGGGCATTGTGGTATTTCAAGCTGGGATCCCAGTTTCCTGTATGTTGGGACTATTAGGTGAACAAATAATACTACAGAAATGGCACCTTACCGTTAAGGTGTCCCCAGCCTGAGATAGTTGCTTCACTGAATTCGTATTGAAGTCTTGGCTTTGGCAGTTGGACAGCTTTTATGTAGTCGTCAAATATTAGGGACATCGGAAGCTTTATCATTGCGATATCGTTAGCAAATAAATTGCTATTCCATTCATTGTGTATTATGAAATGATCTCTTTTGACTACCAATCGTTGTTGGCCCGCTTCCCCTACATCCGAAACATTTACAGCACCAAAATATATTTTAACAGCATATCTGAAAGGGGAAAACATTCAAATTTTGGTTTGGTTAGAATAAAAATCTGTTTTATTTTCGATCTTACAGATCTGGACTATCCAGGCAGTGAGCTGCAGTTAGGACACGATTCCTGGAGATAATAATTCCACCGCACAGAGGAATCCATGCGATATCTTTTTGAAGATTGGAAAGAAAAAGTGCTCCGAGAAATGTTTGGTATGGAAATTGTTTGGGAGCGGCATAGTGTCCATTGATAATTCGATTAAGTTCGTTAGGAAAGACAAAACGAATTAGAAAAGAAAGAAATGTCAAACTAACGATTATTTTGCTCTGCATGTCTGCTTTCAACTGAAACCTAAAACTCTGTGCGCTTCTTTTAAAGTGCAACACCTGGGAGTTAAAGGTAAACGTAATTAGTCAGTGGATAAGATTTCGACTTGAAATAATATGAAGCTTAACTAAATATTTTGTATTTAAATTACAGCTGTCAGAGTAAAAAATATCTACTTCACCAGTAAATTAAAAAATATCGTGAGAACGCTGCTAGGAATTTGTTGATTTAAGTTACCTGCGTTTTGAAAGGCAATTACGAACTATCAAGAATTATGTGCATTCCTCGTGAATTGCTTGTTTGCTTGTCGAAAATTCGTCGAAAATATATGTCTGGCTGTTTGGAAGCTCTGCAGAAAACACAAGGAACAGCCGAAAAACAATTATCAGATGTCCTGGATGGGCGCATACTCATCGCGATTTGGCGGGGCAACGCCTTAAATCATTTTAAGCAAACACTTGGCACCAAATGGCCGCCCATTGTATAAACTGCAGAACGCCGGTTGGCTTATCAAAAGAAAGCTTATTAATAACTCATATACATAATGCAACCAGATCGGGCCGGGGGCCAGTTGAGGCCGCTCATAATCACTAAATCAAAACAACCCGACATGAGAAATGTGGAAATTGAAAAACGCTTCAGCACCGAGTACGCGAGTGGGTTCCGAGAAAAAACAGCTCCATTGAGAGGTGAACCCCAGGACCCCAAAAAGAACTGGAGTCCGAAAACGCTAACCAAGCCCCAGAACTGGAAAAAGCCAACTGAAAACGCCCAAAGCGCGATACTCAACACTTTGGACAAGTTTTTGACACCAATGGAGCGAACGGCCGGCCAAAAGTCTGGAAAAGGGAAAATATTTTTTATTGGCCATTTCAATTATCTTAATGCACTTTAATATGCCAGGCGAGTTGCAAACTTTTTTACCGTTTTGCAAGCATGTGTGTGTGTATGCTTGTGATTATCAGTTAATAAGGCATCAATAAATTTTGGTAAGCAGCAGCAGCCGTGGCCCGAAAACGCCAGACTTGGCCAAGACGGCTCACGCAGCCTCACGGCTCTTGGCCAGATCGCCTCGAGATGATGCCGCAGATTGAGGCGGCCAGATTGCAATTAATTTGCAATAACTTTTGATAAATGCGCGCCTGCGTTTTTGGGAGGGTAGTGGATTTAACGTCACACGATAACGAGTTGACGCGATTAACTGGTAGATATGTTGCCGTATTCCAACCAGACTGCTTTTGGGCCAGAACCACTCCCGTTGGCCCCGAGATAGAGACGGCCACTTAAGTGAAATCGAAGGTTCGCAGTTCTTTATGGCTTCCCCGAAAATCTCAAATATTCCCGACGGCCATATCGTTTTATTAACTTGCCATCAAACTTTATGCCGACCAGAGTGCGCGGATGAAAATGCCAAACGATCAGTGTTAAATTCGCATGCGACAAATTTGCAGCGAGAACGCAAAAGTTGCGGTCGCAGAATGTGGGGAAGTATTTGAAAAATTTCATCAATGAGCGAAAAGTTAATAAAAAATAATTAATTTAAGCGAATTGGCCGTCACAGGGCGGGGCTGCTGAGTTGGCATCGCAACTGGCGCTGCAAGCGCATTTAAATTGAATAAAAGTTGCGGAAAGACGGCAACATTGCAACTGCAACTGCTATTTCGCCGCTGCCGTTATGCGCTTAACATCTTGGCATCCAATCAATTAGTTTTTATGCGCTTCCATTGCCAACTGCTGTTGGTTGCTCTGGGCCAAGCCTTCTTTCTCTTCGTCAGCCGTGTCAGCAACAAATTGGCGAAGGGACCGGCAACCGGCGACAACTTGCAACCAGCACGGCTGCAACGGCAACGGCAGCTCGCAGCTTGCAACTTGCAACAGAAATGGCAAGCCAATGGCACCAGCAACTGCCACAACCACGATGACAACGCGGACATCTTGCAGCTGCATTAGCACTGCCCGGGAAAAGGAGAGATCATTTTCAACTGGTTATTAACAGATCGATATTGCTTATCTCTGAGTGGGTTTTACTTTCCTGTTGACCCGAGTTCTTAACTCCAGATCTCTGAACAATTTTTGGCTAAGGGTTGTGCTTTGTAATTATTTAGTAATTAAGTAGTTCCCGACGAGCATGATTAGCTGCCAATTAAATGCAATTAAATGCTATGTTACTTTTTGAGTAGATACTTTTTACTTTTTGAGTAGAGAGCAAATTCGCCCAAATAAACAGGCAACGCAATCAGCTTAAACACTACGGTAATTATTTCTTGCAGAGGCTAGTGCAACCAGCAGTTTTTCCATCTGCCCAAATGTGATACTTTCCCAAAAAGCAAATAGGAAAAAATAGAAAGAAATATCGAATGCTAACTTAAGTTGTCGGCCCGGGTGAAATGTTATTCAAATGGCTTTCAAATGCCAACGAAATGTGCGCAGGCTTGCGGTTTCTGCGATTGACAAATCAATTTGGCAATGGCTTTTGGGGCTGGGATTTGGGTTTTTTTCTCCACACTTATTTTTTGTATGCAATCGAGAAGAGACGGAAACCAACACCTGCTGGCTGATGGCATTTCTTATTCTTTTTCGGCTGACCGAGAAATCCCCGCTAGCCGACACCTTCGAGTCGAGGCAGCCACGTCGATCAAAGCCATTCGAACACTTGGCAAATATATGCGCATTGCTAAGCAGTTGGCTAAGAGGGGATAATCAGGGGGGATGCTTGGTGGGGGGGGAGGGGGTGTGGTAAATCGACGACAAGCTGGCGGCAGCTACGTCTGCATAAATGCATGAGGATGCCTCCAGCCGCATCTGCATTTCTGTGGCGGCTTAGCACCAACTGCCAATGGCTTTTGGCCAAGTCATTGCCGCTTGTTGCTGTTTGTTGCTGTTGCAGTTGCCATTGTTGCCGTTGTCCAAACACAACTGAAGTGCTAAAAACATTCCAATGTCAGGTATTAGCAATTTAAGTTAACCCTCAGCCCGCTCCGCTCCGCAGGAATCGCCACTCAAGTGCGAGACTCCTTGGATTTTCCGCCGACTTCGATCGACGATTCCACAAAGTGAGCCCGAAGAAAAGGAACATTCTCCTTTGATTTTGATTGCCACAATGTAGCTGTCGATGTGGATGCAACAAATTAGACAGTTTGCTAATCTATGAAAGCATTTCAGCTCATAAATCATAAATGCCAATGGTATTTAGATTCTTACACTGACGGCTTCTTTTATGCATTTATTATGCGATGTTTAGTAGTGAGAAATGAAGGAAGTTTATACTATATTCCATTAGTTTGTATGCTCACGTTAATTATCGTAGTAAACTAAACTGAACAAAGCAATTTACCATTTCGTACAGTATTTTATCTACTGTAGATCTTTAATATGTTATTATGGAAAAATTAATTTGTGAAAACTCGCAGTCACTTAAATTTCGCGTTCCCAGGATTTATGAGTCACTTGCATTTGTCGAGGGACCCGAAAGTTGTGCCCAGAAAATAGGGCTCAAAGGGTTTGTTTTTGGCCAAGGCAAAAGGGGCGGCCTTGGAGGCTGGTGGGCGTGGTCGGCTGGGCAATGCCCAACGGCAACAGGAACTTTTGCGCGATTCTCTGGCTGGTTGTTTGTGTTAATTGAGTTGTTTGCAGCTTGTGTTGCTGTTGCGGCTTCATGTTGCTGCTGCTGCTGCTGCTGCTGCTGCTGTTGCTCGTTTCGTTGCACATTCGTTCGTCTGTTGCATTCATTCCGTTAAGATTTTTTTTAAACACACGTCCAGTTGTTTTGCCGCTGCGATTTTTGTGTTCTCCTGTTGTTCTATGTCTGCCCAAAGTCCCCGATTTGGCTCCAACTCCCGCTCCGCAGCGGACTGTTTGCAATTTTACAGCAATTAGTGCTGCTTGTGTACACTGTCAGTTATTCCTCTGCAGATTTTCAAGTCAAGTGAGTGTTTTGGCTTTGTGGCCGTTGTGTTTTTCCTTTTTCCATTTGCAGCCTTGTCTCTTAATGTCGCGCGCATCAAGCGAAATGAGTCATGGGAGCTGCGCTTTGTGTTGCATTATGTTGCTTTATGTTGCTGCTGTTTCTGGTGTTGCTGCTGCAGATGCTGCTGCTGTTGCTGCTGATGCGGCTGATGCTTCTAGCAGCCTGGCTAATTTGCGATACTCTGAAATTGAAAAGCGGACACTAAATTAATTACACTCCTATCCAGAAATTCACAAAAAAAAGAGACCAGAGTTGCTTACCTTTTGGGCTGAAATAAATTGTTAAATATAAGCAATATTTTTCGAAAAAAAAACTAAAAACAACCTACGTTTTAGACCGCTTTTTATCCCACCGGCTTGGTGGACTCGGACTTCGGGGCTCCCGATGGGCCAGATATATGGGCAGCGGAGTATTCTCCGGCAGCTTATCCCGCTCCAATTTGTTGTTCAAAATGCGATCCATGACCACTTGCTCATTCTTCCGATTTCTGGCATCCATCAACTGCAGGATCTCTTCGACCACAGGTTGAGTTCTCCTGGCCATAAACGCACCTCGGGCATTGCGGTACGGCAGTCCTAGTGTTCTAGCTGCGAATCCACTAGATGAATCCGTCAAGGTGGAGTCGGATAGAGACGTCCTGTTCATTGCTACGAATTTTCTATTGATATTTCTCGGTGCCAATGGGAAAGTTACAATCGGAAGTAATTTAAGCCGCCAACTAAGTGAAATAGACGAGAGCTGAAAATCACAGCCGTCTCGTTGTGAAAATTCTGAGCTGAGCTTCATTATGTTTATATTTTTCTGAAACCAACTTGATTTTTATTTAAAGAGGTAGACTGCCATGCATATTTGGCAGAGTACAGACCCCAAACGCCTGGCACTCGAACACGCCCAAGTAGAAAAATGGCTAAAGATTTGCCACAGACACAAAAGCCAAAGCAAATACGCTCTGGGACCCACAGAGGCCCCCAGCAATAAGCAAAAGCAAAAGCAAAAGCAAATCCGTTGCTGGTGCAGCAAGAAAAAGCGTTTTGTGTCACAAAATATTTGAATGTAGACTCGGTCGCGATTGCAGCTTTGGCTTGCTGTCTTTATTCCCGTCCCTGCTGCGATATTCGAGCTATATCTATACCGTACTATACTATGCTATACTATACCTTGCTATAGCTGACGTGCGCCTGCGCGACCACGCCCCCCGCCGCCGCACCGCCCCTGCGACCGCTCGACTGGATCACTAATTGGTCACGACAGCAGCGAGCTATGATTTTTTTGCCGTCGATTTTTCAGCTCTTTCTGCGATTCTGTGTGGTTTTTGTTGCTTTGCTGTTGTTTTAGCATTTTTTGTTTTTTTTTTGGCCAAACGAAAAGTAAAATCCATTGAATTTGGCAAGAGGCCGCTGCGATTTCGTGTGGCCAGCTCCAAACAGACTGGAAACCTTCAATTTTGGTAGCTTTTCCACTGCTCGCAGACAGCCAGCAATACCACCTACCTTCTGGCCAAGTCCCCTCAGGATGGGGCATTAAAGTTTAGAGCCGCAATTGATTTTAGTCGTCAGTTTTATGGGCTTTTGATTTTTCTTTATTGTAGTTTGCGATTTTTTTGTTTTTTTGCCGCATCTGTGGCGCAAACGTTAAACAATTCGCTTCGTTTGACCAAATTTATTCGATGCTTTATTATTGAATATAATTTTAAATGGTTTTTTAATCATTTTTTGATGTTGGCCCAAATGGCGTGCTATTATTCAAGAGTCCAAACATTAAGTAGAATTTCGGCTCTCAGTTGTGCAACTTGCAATAAATTACCAACCGATTGAAAAACACGCTGAAATAAATATTTGATAACCTTACTTTTATGCCTGACTAGCAATTCAAATAAATGCAAAACTTAACCAAACTTGTAAAAGCGTTGCGCAAATTATAATCTAATTTCGTTTCAAATTGTACAACCACACCGATTCCATTGGCCAGTAATTTATGGTGCCTCTTTAGTCACTGGGATAGCAACAATACAAATTTCGGCAATCGCCGCAGGAAGGCGACCAAGCGACAGCGTCATTCATCACACAAAATTTACTTAATGAAATTAATAAATAAATTATGATATAAATCTCGAACAGTCGCCGGTGTCCGTGTTGCAGCAGCAACATTTTTATTAAAAGCTCTAAATTATTGGCAGTCGCATGCGATGCCGACAAACGACCTGGTCAGCTGCTGCTGCAGTTGTTGCAGTTGCCGCAGTTGTTGCAGTTGCCGCAGTGGCTGTTGCAGCTAACCAGCAACAGCAGGCACACATTAACGAGCAAATGTCAATTTCCAGGCAATCTTTTTGCAATTTCTGGCTTTTTTAGTTAATAATTTTGGCCGTGCCGCCGGAGTTGCGCCAAGTCGATGTGCAGAAGCAACAGCAACAACGTCGTGTCGGCTTTCGTAATGTGCCGGGAAATATTTGCGGCTAGTAAAATTAAGTTAATAATTCTTTTTTTCGATTTTCGAAGTTTTTAATTGGCCGGCGGCGAAAAGGAAGGGGTGAGCATACTCTACCATAAATGAGGCTACTTTAAAACACATTTATATGAAGTAAGATTGGCAAGCTTACAACTTTTGATTATTGTGTTGCTATTATATAATCATTATAATCATTAAGATATGTGATTAAATACATGCTAAAGAGTATTTTTACTTCTTTAATCAGCTTTTTAGCATTTTTATTCCCATTTGTGTTGGCCACTTGATAAATTTCTGAACTCGCCGACAAATATTTTCTGTTTTCCTGATCGGTTTTCCTTTTCTTTTTTTTGTTTTTCCTTGGCTATTGCTGCGCCACGTAAATGTGTCAAATATTGACAATTTATATGAAATCGACATAGGTGCTTGGCCACAAAAAGAAACAACGAAAACCCCAAACAAAAACTGATTTTGGCGACTGGCAAGAAATATGAGTTAAATGCGTTTTTTGGGTCGTTGCAATAATTTTTCTATGCCTCTTTTTCTATTCCCCCTACTCGATGCATTTGCAGTTTTGATTGCTGTTGTTAGTTTGGTGTTGTTGCCAATTGTTGTTCTTGCTGTTGCAGTTGCAGTTGCAGTTGCCTTTGCCTGTGGTTGCTGTAAACAGGAGATTGTTATTTGCAACCCGCTGTGCGTACACCGCAAACTGGACAACTTAATTTGGCTAAAGTCGCTTGTTAGTGTTGCTGCGGTCTGGTTGCCCATTGTTGGTGTTGCTGGTGTTGCTGGTGTCGCAGTTTGCGGTCCGCGCTCACCACATCATATCACATCCGATCCGATCCGAGTGCGGAATGCGAATTGAGGCACCGAGATGAATATGAAGATGAAGCAACCGCGGTTTCTTCTACACTTTTTATCGGTTTTTGTTAGCCGCAGCAAGTGGGACTAGTTTCCCGCATATCGAATGCAGTTGCCACAGTCACAATTAGAGGAACACAAAATTAGAATGCAAAAGCAGGTTCCCATTTTCGATATCTCTGAAAAACAGCGATGCGGAGAACTTTAACGGCAATTTGTACATACCTACTTAATCGGCCTATAAAACTTGTGGTATTAACTATTGAAGAAATGTTTGTACTTAAAGAAAAGGAGGTCACTATCCTATATCCAGTCGATATAAGTATTTTTCATGGCTCAGGTAAGCACTAATAAAAACTACATAGTAACTGCCAATATTCCCAAGCATTTTTAGCATCTCTAATGCCAAAACGGTTATCCTGTGGGCCATATTTCTTTCGCCACTTTTTCTACCACTTTAATTGCTCACGTCATTGATTAATTTGTTGACTGGCTTGGCTTAATAATCGCCACACGATGGCGGAAAAAACAATGCAGCAACAATTGCAACTGCGGCAGCAACATGAAAGTTGTCGCGTCACATGCAACAAACGACATTTATCATGTTAACCTTTGGAGTGCATTTGTCTAGACGTCTTCAACGAGGGTTGATGTGGATGTTGCTGTTGCTGTTGCTGATGTACTCCTTACTGCTGCTGCTGCTGCTGCTGCTGTTGCGGAAGAAAAAAGAAGCGTTTTAGGCACTGCAGGCGCAAGAAGGAATCATAATAATTTGTAATAAATTAACGCCTGTGCCAGCCAGTGACAAACGCAACAACATCGGCGGCAACACCTAGGCATTTGTACCTAGGAAGGATTAAAACACGCCCAGTCCCTGCAGCTCTCGTCATCTTCATTAAGTCAAGGCGCGTCGTCCTCGAGTGCAAAGTCAACCAGACAGCACATGTGGCATATGGCACACACCACCACCATTCACTCCACACCATGCCACACCATGCCACTCCACTCCGATGCCCTCCGTTTTGGCCATGTTGCCATAACCCTTTTGTCTAATTTCACGCTGTCGTTCCTCATCAAAGACTGACGCGCGTCCCCGGCGAGTAATTCATCATTTCGCGTGACGTACTCCGGAGTCCACATCCTCGTCCCCAGCCCCAGGAGCCCTGATTCTCCATCAGCAGCAGCAGCAGCAGCAGCAGGCACATAAATTCTCAAGTGCCAAATGCATTTTTTATATCGCCATTTGCCGACGAGAGCGCCTTGCCTTTGACTTGGCCTTAACTCCTGTTGGCGTGACACAATCGACAAGTTGAAAGCAGGCAGCGCAGTTGCAGTTGCAGTTGCAGTGCTTGATGCTGCTGCTTTTGCTGCTGCTGTCCCCATCGTTAGCTGCTAATTATTCAAATTAATTGTTTCGCCCCAAAGACACGCGCACGCGCACCTCAAACGCCAATCAACTGAAGACAGTTGGCAGTGGAGAGACTGGGAAATGGAAAGCTGGGGGAAAACTCCGCAGTTGACAAGTGCAATGTTTGTGGGGCATTGAGCAGGGGCATCAATGGAAATTTAAGCACATTTAACCAGATGCTTGACATCTGTTCATTTCTTACACTGCAAATCTGCAATCTGGAATCCAATAAACGTATGCCCCATCATATTATGACACCATGCAAACTCCAATTAAACGACTGCCGCCATTTCTAATTGAGCTATTAAAGTTGGCCTGCACTGGCTATGATTTTTCGAGGTCCGAACTGAAATTGGCAAAACGCCTTTCGAGTTGCCAAGTTCTGCTGTTCTACATGACTCCGTTGTCAGGCTAACAAATAGAAATGGCAATTCGAATGCAAAGTTTAATTTTTTTGCCAAGAACTTACGATTTAGGTCGCCATGGGCTGGCAGCCTTGTCCATTGCCTGTCACGTCTGGGATTTGCCGGGGCTGGGAAAAAGGGGCGTTGACTCTGGGTGGGCGTAACACTTATGATTCGATTGGGCGTGAAAAGCGGAAAAGTGTTACAGAGGACAGCGCTTTGAATTTATTTGATTGTTGCACGATATCCATTGACCAGTAATATTCAAGCCCTTAGGAAGCTGGAACTTTATATTATCTTAATTCACTTATTCCACTTTAAGATCCAAGAACGCGGGTAAACCCGTTCCGGATTGAGTTGTATTTTGCATTCCATCGACCATCAATTCCTGATAAAGAAAACATGACTAAAGGACGAATGCAAACAACTCCATTTATAATTTTTGTTTCAGCTTGTGGTTTATGAACTCAAATGGCAACTATTTGGTTTCAATTTGGACGGCTGGCGAGTGCCCTTCAAAAATGTTT